AGGGTAGAAATCACGACTAATTAAAACAAAGCGAAGAGCCTTATCAAAACATCTCATGTGGACCTTTAGTAGTGGCATGCTCGGCACGCTCAATTTCTGCGGTTAGTGTGTACTTGTCTCAATAGCATAAAAAGGTAGAAGCCATCAAGATGTCGGCTTTCTACGATTTCCCCAATAATCGCCTTTTCAAAACTCTCTGTCCATCCACTCATTGAAAGGAGGCTGTATGTCTCGATTGTCAACGCCCACTCTGAAAGCCAAAGCAGCGTTTCAAACGAGTCTCTAACAAACCAGTTGCTGTGACGACAATGTCTAGAAGTGGTAATTGGAGAGTGTTTGATTGTGCCTAGAAGAATTGTCTCTGGTATTAGCAATCACAATTATTATATTGTTAGCGGTCAGATGTAGAGTAGTTGTTACTTGTCAACGGTATAAGAGGCGTTGAGGGTTTTTTCAGACACGGCAGCAATGCCTGAAAGATAAGTTGGACTATTCCTAATTGCTATCCACTCCACTTCTATACTTCTATACTCACACACTTCAGTCAGAAAATCATTACTTCGTGAAGTCAAGATAGAGCTGAGCCACACAATACTTTTGTCATCCCCAAAATGCAGTTTAATGCTTTGGTCATGGCTTACAATTGTCTTGATTTCATGATTCCTGATGGAAACAGCGCAACGAAACCTCGTTTTGTTGTTGTTGTGATTTTGTTGTTGCTCTTGTTTTTTTCTCTTGTGTAAAAAGTACCCAGGCGGGCTTTAGTGGACTGCTTGCAACACCGATTGTTTTTCACTTGCGTAAAAGAAATACAACCAGTATTATAATGAAGCAGCGCAGTCTTTAACATTGAGTACGAAAGAAGGGCTCCATGACAAATTGCTCCAGACCTCCTATCCTTTTACTACAAAACTGGGTAAATGAAAAACGTAAACTTTTAATCTCTGAAAACAGAAGTATGGTAACGAAGCTCACTTTTACCAAACTAATAATATCAAGGGATAAACTGCATTTTGATGGGAAATAATTCTCACAACAATCCTTATCATAAGATTATAGAGCGAATGGGGTTTTAATGTTGTTGTTGTTGTTTCTTTGTTGTTGTTTCTTTATTTACGTGTTTTACTGCGCACGCAACTGAATAAAGTCATATGAGCGTGGGAGACGTATTATGAAGCAATTTCAGTTTGGTAAGAATTAATTTTGAATTTGTTTCCCGTGTGGCGACGGAAGCCTACGCTTATCGATTGTCGCCCTTATCAGAAAAGGCTCTAGGTGTAAGATTTTACCTACCCTAAGATCAGGGGTGTGGCTGAAAGACTGCAGTGAGAAGGAACCAAGGCGTTGCAGTAGAAAGGCAGCAGAAAGAGTCAGAGGCCCAGAGGGTAGAAGGGGAGGGGGCAGAAAGTAGAGAGGAAGACAGACGACAGAACATGATTAGAGAG